TTTTTTTTTTTTTTTGAGTGTTCTTGCTAGAGATCATATATAAAATAATAGAATTGAAAAAATAAATATAAAATTTAATAAAGACAAATGAAAAATTGGGAGGCAGCCGAAAAGAAAAATGACTGAAACAAAAGAATAAAAAATACATAGAAAAAGGGAAGTCGGACAAGGTTCAAGATAAATTTCAACTTGAATTTTACACACAAGAAAGACTTTCAAAAAAGCCTACCAGCCATGGCACCTATGTCTAGTTTACGACTACGGGTGGCATGATCAAATATTTAACCTAGTTTAAGAAAATTTTAATTTATGTATATAAAATTTTTTTATCATCTTAGCGGGTGCCATGCCACCCCTTAATTGGGGTGGATCCGCCCCTGGCCTCTATGTTCAAGTTGTCGAAGATATGATCTTTTTAAATATTAGTTTATAAACACGCGCGCTCTATACGCTTGAATCCTATTTTTAATTTGTACAATAAACGTTAAAGAAAACTACATATTTAAAAATATGTTTTGAGTTAATAAAGATAAACATTAAAAGAGAAAGATTAACGATTTAACTCATAATTTGAATATATTTCAAGATTGCTATGAGAGGTAACAAATCTCATAATTTGAATAGAAAGACATATCTCAAATTGAATGGTCTAAAATGTCAGTCATATTCTCGCTATCTAGTATCGTTTGGCCACATTATTGGAAAATATAAAATTTTAGGAGTATGTATCGTAAGCTCCAATAATTTATTGGAGATTATCAATCTGCATTTCATGAGCTAAAATAGGGCAATAGTTCCGTGTCGTCCGGCCCTTTCCCATATTCTTGTGGAAATAGCTCCTTGTAGAAATACAGGGTAAGACTGCGTACAATAGACCCTTGTGGTCCGGCTCTTTCCCGGACCCGCACATAGCAAAAGCTCCTGACTGCCCTATTATTTCATAAGCTAAAAACAGTTAGCTTGCACCGAACCATAAAAAACCTATTGGCTATATGAAATTGTACATCATTGGTAAAAGCTGAAGTTTGAAATGAATGATAACAAGTCACTATTACTTACAACAACAACAACACAGTATAATCTCACAAGTGGGATCTGGGGAGGGTAAAGAGTACGCAAATCTTACCCCTACTTCGAGAAATAGAGAAGCTGTTTCCAAAAGACCCGTGGCTCAAGAAGTCGAACAGATGGACTGAGTTAACAGCTGAACTTATGTTGAAACTTTCCTTATTTTAAGAAAAGCTTTTACATTCAAAGTAGTGTCCACTCTCCCATTTGACAATGGCAGCTTCTTCTTCCAGCAACTATTACTTCTATAAATAGCAACACCACAAAAACATTCTTCCGAACAAGATTTCCTGCATTCTTCTTCAGTAGAAAGATAAATCCTTTCGAAATCTGATAATGGCCAATCAACATCAGTCACAACATCAAAATCATATAAATCTTCAGGATTACCCTGTCCAATTTCATCACAAATTGGAACAAATCTTGGTTTGCAGCTCCCATACTTATTGTTTGGATCGATCGACGAATACCCTTTTGGACATTCACAATATGGCCTTTGATTTTCACTTAAATGACACACATTGTTATACCCACAAACTCATTCCAATTTCTTCAAGAATTGCTAAACAAATATTATCAGGCACAGACCAAAGAATAGTCCAATTTTGTTTCCCTGTAGAAATACTCTTACGATGATAATAATGAGTTAAAACACCATCAAAATCAAGACTCAACCTGTGATAATTGTCTGAAACTAAAGGTACATTAGGAGGTGTTAGCACAAGTCTTTGATTGTTTCTTTTTAATATATAAACAGTGCCCAATTCGTTGAATATTAGTCGATATCCAGAATTGGCTTCATTTCCAGGATCAGAAGTATGACTGTTATAATACTCAGAATCAGATTCAAAATTAGTTTGCTTGGATTGAGTATTAAGCACCAAATTCCCATTACTCATAATACGAAGAACAAACTTACCTGGAAAAAATAAAGACTCTGATTTTCGCGAATTTAGCTTGTTGTCAATCTCGAGTATTTGAGTAGGCAAAAGGGTATCAGTTGGATATTTAAAATTTTACCATAAAATTGAAGAATCATTTCCAACAAGAACAAAGTTTCCTGTATTATTCATAACAGCATAAGCAACATTAGTTACAACTCGACCAGTGCTCCAAAGAATTTTACCCTGAGGAACACGGAGAATTAATCCACTTTGTGGATTTAATTCCGCGATTGAGCCTCGTGGTACTAGATTACCACCATTTGCATACCAAACTATGGTGATATCTTTAATTTTCGCGTAATATACGCAAAGCAAGAAGTGATTTTGATCTTGAATTTGCTCGCAAAATCTCTGGATTGAGAGAGCCATGGGGTAGTTTCTTCATTTGTAGTAAGAGTACTGCCCAAAGGTATAGTATCCTTAGTTTGAGCTAAAATAGCATAGAATATATGTTGGAGTAAGCCATTGACAAATTTGGTTTTGCATTAGTTAGAGAAACCAAAGTTGTGGTATATAAACTTGGAGTTTGACTTATTCATATGCAGTGACAGTATAAAAGAACTTTTACACATGAGATAAATAATACTTACACATAACATTTCATAAAAAGAGGAATCAATTATTTTTAAAATAAGACAAAATACCTGAGACGATCGGAACCTGAGTAGAAAGTTTTTAGACTCAAGAGACCAAAATAGGCACATAAAAAAACTGGACACCATTTTATATAAAGCGCATATATTTGTTAACGGCCAGTTACCTTGTTAACGTATCGCGCATATAATTCATGTATATTTAATATATGAACCACACCACGCCACTACTGCAAGACAGATAATAGGAATGTGTCAGTTTTCAAAGAATGAGGACCACAAGTTATGTATAAAGAGTTGAAATTTCTTCTCCTTCCCACACTTGAAAAGTCGCACATCAAGCCTTTAACTTCGAGTTGGGCGGAAGCTACACTTTAACACACCAGTTCGGTCGAGTCAAATAACTTTAGTATAAATTTAATTATTTTCTTAAAATTTTATTTCATACGTGTAGATTATTAATTTAGAACACACTAACTTAAAAGGACTAGAATCACAAACCCGTTAATTCCAAATATTGACTATGCATCTGCCTCAAGAGTAAAAACTACTTAAATAGTGATATATCTAAATGCAATCAAACTTATAGCCGACATTATTGACTTAGGCCTGGCAGTTTTTCACTATTTTGAAGAACAGAAAAGCTTACAAAATCTTTCCTGCCTTGGCAGTAAACGATGGGCCATCTTATATATTCAATAACCATGCAGAATAGCCAAATTAATTAAGTTTTATCCGTTTGTTATGATGCAAAACGAAAAATACGTTATTCTGACGTGCGGTGTAAAACAAGATTGGCCGGTTGTTACCGGGTGAGAAGTATTGAATTTTCTTGTTATGATTTCTCGTTCATTAAACACTTACATGCCCTCTACTTGGGTTTCTATTAATGTTTTATATTTTGTATGTTACTTTCATATTTGTGTCTAACAAACTACACATGCAAGCTCAGATCTACAGAGCTGCCATGGAGTCTTCTGGAAGGTTCTGAGAGAAGAGGAGAAAAAAGAACAGGAGAGAGGGATAGAGAGAACAGATAAACCGAAGTGCTTTCTGTAAAATGAGAACCCTCAATTCATTTCATTAACTGTACAAGTGTATATATACATGTTGACTATTTAACCAAGTTAATTACTAACTAAGCTAGCTAAATCACTAACTAAGCTAACTAAGTATAAGCTAAGTATACAATACAATAATGAATGTATGAATAATAATTATACTCAATACCACCCCTCAAGTTGGAGGTGAGGCCTTCACAGCCAACTTGCCTAGAACAGCTGAATGTTTGACCCCAATGAGGGCTTTGGTGAGAATGTCAGCCAACTGATTGTGAGTATTCACATGATGAAGAGAGATGAGACCTTTTTGTAGCTTATTCCTCACAAAATGGCAGTCGAATTCAATGTGCTTGGTCCTTTCGTGAAATACTGGATTATGGGCAATATGTATTGCAGATTGGCTATCACAAAACACCTGAATAAGACTTGATTGGGCAACAGTAAGCTCCGCAAATAGCCTGCTCAACCACACCAACTCCCCAACTACTTTCCTGAGGGATCTGTACTCCGCTTCATCTGAGGACAAGGAAACAGTCTCCTGCTTCTTAGACTTCCAGCTAATAGGACTGTCTCCTACTAGAACAATGTACCCAGTAACAGACTTCCTAGAGTCTGGGCAAGTTGCCCAGTCTGAGTCAAATAGGCCTTGATTGAACAGTCAGGACTGTTGAAGAAGAATACACCCAAGCTAGGATCCTTTTTGAGATACCTAAGGAGGTGAAATGCTGCAGTCAAATGAGTGTCCCTTGGAGTTTGCATAAACTGGCTTAAGAGCTGCACACTATAGGCTATATCCAACCTGGTATTGGTGAGAAAATTGAGTTTTCCCACTAACTTTCTATAGTATGTGGGATATGGTAGGAGATTACCCTCTTGTGCTTTTAGCTTGACAGTAGGATCAAGAGGTGATGAGACATTGCTGTAGTCAAAACACTGGTATTCCTTCAGCAAATCCAAAGCAAACTTCCTTTGAGAGATAAGGATACCATCAGGTTTGTATAGGACCTCTAGACCCAAGAAATAATGAAGTCTGCCCAAGTCCTTCATTCTAAACTTTTGATTAGGGAAGGCCTTCAAACTTGCAATCTCCTCTGAGTCAGTTCCAGTGATGATAACATTATCAACATATACAGCTACAAAGATGATAGATGTGGAAATTTTCTTGCAGAAAAGGGAGTGATCATTTTCAAAATGTTGATACCCCTTTGAAGACAATGCTTCAGTTAACTTTGCATACCATTGTCTACTGGCTTGCTTCAGTCCATATAGTGACTTGTTTAGCTTGCATACCACTCTACTTGGACTGCATTGATCAACTACAAGTCTAGGTGGAGCCTCCATGTATACCTCCTCATGTAGGTCTCCATGGAGGAAGGCATTGTTCACATCCAATTGGAATATATCCCAGCCCTTCTTAATAGCCACTGTAACTAGGATTCTAACAGTTGTCATTTTCACAACAGGGGAGAAAGTCTCTGTATAATCAATCCCAGCCTGCTGAGTATAACCCTTTACTACCAACCTAGCTTTGAATCTTTCAATACTTCCATCTGCTTTATGTTTGATCTCGTATACCCACCTACAACCTATTGCTTGCTTTCCAGATGGTAAAGGGACCATGTCCCAAGTATGGTTGGCATGGAGTGCCTCAAATTCCTGTGCCATGGCTGCTTGCCAAGTAGGATTGAGGGCTGCCTCTTCATATAATGATGGCTCACTATCATGACAAACACTTAGCATCAAGTGCTGACTTTCAGAAAATAGAGCATCAGGAGTGATGTGATGATGATTAGAAAACATGGCATTTAGTGAAGGGGTGCAGTGAGGTGTAGTGGGCAGTTGAGTGGTACTACTAGGTAATTGATAAACATAATCTTTTAAGTAGATAGGAGCCTGATGAGTTCTATTGGATTTCCTTAGAACTGGTACTTCTGATTGTTTATGTGTAGATGAATTCTGTGAATTGTTATCATTTAAAGATGGAGAATCAGAGGTGTTTGAAGAGGGTGTATCAATGGTGAATGATTCAGAGTGGTGTTCTGTGTCTGGAGATGTGACACTATCAGGACTTTGTCCAATGTTCATAGGGGGAACCCGACTGCTGTCCTCAGAATAGTTAGGAAATGAGACTGTTTTAAGAACAACAGGGAAGGAGGCATTATTAGAAATTAAGGAGAATGGAAAAACATTTTCATGAAAGATTACATCTCTAGAAATGTGAATTCTCTTGGTGGCCAGGCTTAGTACCTTTTAACCTTTTGTGCCAAAGGGATATCCTACAAAGATATGTGGAGTAGTTCTTGGTTCAAATTTATCTCTGTATGTTTTGGGCACAGTGGGGTAGCAGAGACAGCCAAAGCTTCTCAAGTGAGAATAATTGGGCTTCTTTTGATATAATAACTCAAAAGGACATTTGTTGTTAAGGTAAGTAGTTGGCAGCCTATTAATCAGATAGGTGGCTGTCAGGATACACTCTCCCCAATATCTAGTTGGGAGTTTAGACTGGAACATGAGAGCCCTGGCAGTTTCAAGAAGGTATTTATGCTTTCTCTCTACTACACCATTCTACTGTGGTGTATAGGGACATGTTTTCTGATGTATAATTCCTTTAGATTGGTAAAATGAAGAGGCTTCATGGCTGGTAAACTCCAAGCCATTATCAGATCTAATGATTTTTATGGATGTATTGAATTGATTTTCAATCATGGCCACAAAAGCTTTTAAAGCCTGAAGGGCATTACTTTTGCAGCTCAATAGATGTGTCCAAGTGGATCTACTGAAGTCATTCACTAGTGTGAGGAAATATTTGTAGTTATCATGGGTGGTCACATGGTAAGGGCCCCATATATCTATGTGTACTAGTTCAAATAATTTGGAGGTGGTGCTGGTTCTTTGAGGAAATGGGAGTATGGTTTGTCTTGCCATAGGGCATATAGGGCAACTGAAAGGTTGCCTTGGTGCAAACTTTGCTGGAGTTGAGGATATTCCTCTCATCTTAACAAAAGGAACATGACCAAGCCTATTGTGCCACAGAGAATTTACATCATGTTTATCAAACACATACGAGGACTCATTCTTATTATTTGAAATGGAAGTATTTACAGATTGAGGAGTGTGACATGAATGAGTATGAATGACAGACTCATGACTATTTACATTGGGAGCAGGAATGCAATTGCAGTCGGAAGTTGTCACGACCCCAATCCCGGTCGTGATGGCACCCAACACAATGCTAGGCAAGCCCGACCATTTAAACATTTCCAAATCCAAATACGCAACCCATTACCAATTAATAGAGTTAAATTATTAGATAACATAATTCCAACCCATAGTAATAGACAGAAATAGTGCGGAAAAACCATAACAAATGCCAATACAACTCCCAACAGATCTGGGGTCACGAGTCTAGAGCCTCTAAATACAACTGAGTAGCAAAATCTAAACATATGAAAGTCTAGGATGCGGGAAAGCAAAGGGATAAGGGGAGAAGTCGGGTCCTGCGGATGCCAGGCAGCTAGCTCGACAACTCCTGTGATAATCTGGAGAGCAGCAACAACTCTACTAAGCCTCCGGAACACCTATATCTGCACACATGGTGCAGGGAGTAAAGTGAGTACTCCAACTCAGTGAGTAATAAGCATAGATAATGGCTGAAGATAAGAAATCACGAAATATTACAATGTAAAGCTATAATTGGCAAGCCAGCACATTTAATGGTGCATCAAATCAAATGACAGTTAAAGCAAATAAATACCAATGCATGAATGCAATGCAATGCATATGACCGCTGCGGCGCGCAGCCCGATCCATTTGGGTACTGGCGCTCACTGTGGGGGTTCAGACTCCGGAGGGGCTCCTACAGCCCAAGTGCAATATCGACATAATATTGCTACGGCGTGCAGCCCGATCCATGCTCAGTCCAGAATATGCAGGTGAGCCACTCGGGCAATATTAAGTAATAGCTCTCAGCTCCAAACGTCAGAAAATGTAGTTTAAGTTTTTTTAAATCTTAGAAATATGACTGAAATCATTTAACATGCTAAGTATCATGGAAACAGTGATAATAATCCCTGAAGGATTTCAAATAATCGGCACAAAGCCCAAATATATCCATAAAATCCAAGTAGGA